TTTTTTTCTCTTAGCCGAGTTCTCTGGTTATCTTCACACAGCCTGCTGCAGAAATCGGGGAAGACGCCCACTCTCTAATGCTAAGTGAAAATGGTAAAGTATCTACATTTGATTTCGCTATCTATGCTCTTAGTTTAAAAGAGAGGGATGGAAAGGTCCTTTCATCAGTAACTGCGGCAGATTGCAGGGTAGAAGCCCAAAAGACAAGAAATGAGTTATTTTGAATTAAATTGGATGGCAGCCACGTATCTCGTAAACACCCACCAGCCACACTAAACACGAGGGAAGAAGTCATCACAGAAATGTTGTGCAATGGAGAAGGAATTTCCCCAGCGTTAGCTTGGCCCTGCTCTGCAGCTGCTTTTCTCTTGCACAAGATGTGCAACAAAGCAGGAACGCGTCTGTTTGTTTCTGGGAGCCTCCTGAGAGCCGAAGCGGAGCCAAGCGAAAGCCTCGGCTCCGGATACACTGTAAAGTCCATCTCCTCTCTCCTGGTGGGAGTATGTCCCCATCTGAGCGCTGTGGGTGCAGGTACCAACTCACCGACCACCCTGAGCTCACCCTTGGCTGATGGCTATTGTCTGCTTTCATCTGGGTTTTATGCTTCTGAGCATAAAATGTGGCTGGATGAAGACGTAAGGCTAAAAGTTGTCTTAAAGAATGAGTGATTTGCTAGCAACGCTATTTATTTTCCCTACATGGTTTTTCTGGTTGTTTTGTTTCGTTTTTTTAAAGTAAGACGTGGTTCCAAAAAGTAGCAAGTACTTCTTCCTTAACAAAATGTCACTCTGGCATTGCAATCTTTGGGGAGACGTGACAAGTCTTTTGTAGTTGTGTGCTTTTTTAACAGCGAAAGTTTCAAAGCAACTCAAAGGTGGCAGAGGCAGTTTTGACAACAATTAAACATGCAGAAAGGGCTTTTTTCCTAATGGAACAACCTCCTTCTTGCAGGAATTGAATTCATCTTTTACGTTGTGTAATTAGATGGAGAGGTACAACGGGGAGCAAAGGTGGCTTTGTCCTGCCTTTGCCATGCTGGGGTGGCGCTTTGTGTCGGTGATGGCAAAAGGGCTCCAATAAATCATTCTTCCTCTATCCGCCTCCCCCATCCCCTCTGGCCAACAAAGAGATTGCTTTTGCCTCCATACTGTATAATATTTTCCTGCTAAGGGATGTCAAATTCTCTCTTGAACCCTCAGGTTTTCAGGAGACACAAAATGGTGTTTACCCCACTGACCGTAGTGGGGTGCTGCCAGGAACTGGCTCACGTTCTGCTGCTATTTGTGACCTTTTTTTTAAATTATTTTTAGGCTTTGTCAGTAGGAGTTGTGCCTTAAGTCAAAATTGGGCTTTGTGTTTTTACCACGTGAACTGTTACATGCCCCCTTCTGCCGAAGGGCAGCGAGCGTCGACACAGCAATAAGGACAAATATTTTGTTGAGGTCCCGTGAGCAAATTCTCTGTTCACATTAAAAATGCAAACCTGACACTGAGAACACTGAGTCAGCACCACTGGTTTCCATCTAGGAATAACAGCTGATATGGTTTCCCGGATGTTTTCCAATGTACACAAATACTAAATGCCTTTGTCAAGTGGAGTTTAACAGATACAGCCGTGCTTTGCTTGCCATAAAAACAACTGTGAGAACGAGCGCTGGCAAGCCTCCTTCCAGACCTAATACCGATTTGTTTTGTTGTTTTTGTTTAAGTATTCATGGTAATGACAAAATCGGCCTTTCTTCTCTTGCTAAACATCTATTGTTTTCCACGGTGCCTGCATCACGAAGGAAGGAACAAAGACGTGCTTTGCTTATGATGTTATTCTGCCCAAACGCTGTTTATATTTTCACAGCAAACACCAGTCTGTCCTGGTGGATCATGTTTTGTTTTTTTTTTTCCTGCTACAGAAAGCGGGTTCCTCTTCGATCTCAGATTGCCACGGCCTCTCTACTATCACTAGTAAAGACCCCGTGCTGCCCTGCCCTCGTGCAGCTACAAGGAACCATGAAGGGTGACAAAGCTGGGGTGCTCCTGGCCAACGCTGCTCCAAATCCGACGTGAAAAACGAGCCTGGGAAGCCTGGAGCGGAACGATAGCTACTATCCTCGAGAAGAGGAGGCTCCGGGGTGACCTTATAGCGGTCTTCCAGTACCTCAAAGGGGCCTACAAGAAAGATGGGGAGAGGCTGTTCAGGAGGGCCAGTTGTGATAGGACAAGGGGTAATGGTTTTAAAATAGAGGGAGGTAGATTCAAATTGGATATCAGGAAAAAATTTTTTACCATGAGAGTTGTAGAACACTGGAACAGGTTGCCCAGAGAGGTGGTGGATGCTCCATCCCTGGAGACGTTCAAGGCCAGGCTGGACGAGGCCCTGAGCAACCTGATCTAGTTGGAGATATCCCTGTTCCTTGCAGGGGGGTTGGACTAGATGACCTTTGAAGGTCCCTTCCAGCCCTTACCATTCTATGATTCTATGATTCTATTTACTAATCCACCCCGGACCCAGATCCCTATTTACTAGGTACTCCATAAACACAAAACAACCAGCACAAAGATCTTTTTGTCTAAAGAAATTACAGCCTCGGTACAAGACCAGAGGGAGCAGATGGGAGAGCACCGGGAAACAAGGAGACAATGCCGGCTGGCGGGCGAGAAACGGCCCCAGCACTTGGCAGCCCCAGCACCGCCAAGGATGTGGTGGTAAAGGGACGTGTGGCGAGTGAATCTGAAGAGGAGCTGTTACAACTGCACCAAGATTCAACAATAAAATTTTATTCAACTGTGATGTTTTTGAGATTTTCAGGTTTTGACTGAAAATTGCTCAGTAAAAACGATTTGCTTGCCAGGCAGCGAGACGTGAATGACACCTGTACTGGTGCTGCAAACTGTTTTGTTGTCAAACTTGACTCAAAAAGCGACGTTCAGCCAGCAGTAACCAGTCAGGATTCAATGTGACACCAGTGCCACTGGTTTACCAGGAAGCCCTAAACATTTATTGACGCGAACAGGAAATACTAATGCTATGAATCAGAAAAAAATGAGGTTCTTCAGAAAAGAAAAGGGAAGCAAACCTGCTCCACCACGGGCTCCTCTCTCCACAGGGTCACAGGTCCTGCCAGGAGCCTGCTCCAGTGCAGGCTTCCTGTGCAGTCCCAGACTCCTTTGAGCATCCATCTGCTCTGATGTGAGGTCTTCCCTGGGCTGCAGGAGGATCTCTGCTACACCATGGACTTCCATGACCTCCAGGGGAACAGCCTGTCTCACCGTGGTCGTCTTCTCCCCCTTCTTCTCCACTGACCTTGGTGTCTGCAGAGTTGTTGCTCTCACATATTCTCATTTTGGCTGCTGTTGCACAGGTTTTCCCCCCCCTTTTTAACTATGTTATCCCAGAGGCACTACCCCACCATTGCTGATGGGCTCAGCCTTGGCCAGCAGCAGGTCCATCCTGGAGCCAGCTGGCACTGGCTATATCGGACACAGGGAAAGCTTCTAGCAGCTTCTCACAGAAGCCACCCCTGCAGCCCCCATGCTACCAAAACCTTGCCACACAAACCCAATACACCTTCATAGAGGTTGAAAAACTTCTGATCTTTGCTTAAGCTCTACGGGGAGCACCCAAACCAGCCCCGTGCTGGAGAGCTGCCTGCACTCCGCAGGGAGCAGAAGAGGGGCTCCTCCAGTGCCTGACTCTGGGCACCCATCTCCTGCCCCATGTCCAAACCCCTTGGTGAACTTATGAGCTATAGGGGAACTTGGAAGAAATTAAATCCTTAAAAAGTACTACTGTCCCCCCTTCCAATTCAGCAAAAAGTACTTAAGCTCATCATCTTCCCGCTTTGACAGTCTATTTTAATACACAGCACTGGCACTAGTTTAACAGCTTTACCTTTTATTGGCATAACTGCAATGGATAATCAGTCATGACAAGAAAATGCCTGAAGCATTTCTTAGGCTTTAGGTTTGGGCTTCCAACCAAAAGCGTGGGGGTTGGTTAAAAGAACATTGTCACGGTATTTTGTATAACTCATTTCTTTAATGGCAAAAAAATTTAAAACTCTTCCTGCACGTAAGACAAAAGAGCCGGTGCTCTGTATGTTTTGACAAAGTATTCTGAACACGCTGACACCACAAAATAAAATATAAAAAGCCTAAATTAGGACGAGCATTTGGACACTTGTAATAGATACAGAAGCAGATTTGCATAAACAGAATCTCATTCAAAAGTCTAAATGCCTCAAGATTTTCACATCAAAACTTTGGATATACTTTCATGTCTAAATAACATGCTGTCAAGAGACACTGCAGATGCCGTTATAGCTGGGAAAAAAAGTTATTGGTCCTGTGAAAACAAACTCAGCTTATTTTCTACTGTCAACAACTTCCAATGCCATCTTATAAGGTCCTTCTCAGGAGATGACAAACCTGTAACTTTAGTAAGCATTCCATCCCCTCCAGGCTCAAAGCTCCACCTTCTTCATTCATCTTGACAACGAGAACTTCCTTCTGCAGATAAAGGCAACAGAAAAAGGCTCCCGTTCCTGTTTTCAGTGGTCATCTCCTTGCACAAAGAAACACAGCTTCAACGCAGGATTTCACCTCAGGTTGGCTCGTCTGGCTTTGTCAGTCTGACTTCTTATGCTAATGAGAACTCTTTAAAAAATTCTCTTTTCTCATCATGTGCTCCCTGACAGCAAGACAGAATGAGCGTGCACGTGCCCAGAACGCAGTTAATAAAAGAAAAAAGTGGCTGTGTCGGGACAGGAGAGGCCTAATTTCTTCGGTCTCTAAGCTCAGGAGAGACACTGAGATCATTTGTTTCCTGTTCTGAACTTCATTTGGTATTTGGGGGGGAACGGGGGGGGGTCACCCACCAAGCGCAGACTTCCCAGCCGGTGAGTGGGAGGAAGGTGTCAGATCTGCAGTGACCCGGAGGTGCACAGGGTGCACCCACACAGCCTGCAGGAGAAACGTGACGCGTAAAGACCACGAACGTGAACTTTCTACTCGGTTTGAAACGGGCTCTGAATCTTACTGCTCACTTCCTTTGTAAATTCAAAAATCTCAGAAGAATTTCCTATAATGTCAATGTGAGTATTGTAAGGAATGACCAAAACATACGGGTAACGAGGTTTTAGACTTCGACACACCTGTGCGTATCTCCGCTTTTCATCTCCGGTGTGCTTCCCAAAGTAGATCTGTTCCTTACGTAAAGCGTTGTGAAGTTTTATAGACTGATCTTCAATTTTCTCTTTGACTCTTAATACCTGTCCAGCATCAGACCTACTTCCAGCATTCTCAACGTACACTGTAGTTACATCACCATCAGTGACATCAGAAATCACAACATCATCATTTACTAGGAATGTCCTGGGAAAAAAGCACTTCATGTAGCGATAGGTATCTGTGTCAAGAACCACCACTTGTTTTTCCCCATCTGCATCACCAACAGAATTACTCGTCTCCGTGGTAAGTCTGTGCTGCTGCAGCCTCCTCTTTGGTCTCTGATGGGACTCACTTCCTTCTACTTTGTCTTTCTCTGAAAGGGATTTTGCTTTTATCAAGAGAAAGTCTCTTAGCAATTTGATTGCTGGAAATGACCCCTGAACAGAAACATGCCCGTTGGATTGCAAAGGACCGAAGCTCAAAGCTGTGCTCTTCTTTTTAAGTTCTTGGATCAGATCTTCTAAAACAAATTCATCTTTGAAAACAGACATATTGAGGACAGATGTGACAGAGCTGAAGACCTAGAATTTTGAATTAGAGAAGTTACATAACGGTTAACACAGCAATGGAAGTGCAACCAGATAAATTATGACTGAGCTTACGTTTTCACAGTAACGGGTTACTTTCAGTGGATAGCATCTGGACAGCCTCTTGTCTTCTAGTCGATGTTCAGCCTTCTTTAGGACACTCTCTACAACTAAAGAGAAAGTCAGATTCACTTGTCAGGCAGTAAGATAACACACCATTGCCAGTCTGACGGCAGAACACTTCCCAGGTGCTGTTCTCTTGATGCTTTCCCCAACGATTTCCCGGACGTACACACAGGCAATTCAATACTCGTGCCTAATACTTTATGTATTAGTCAAAATTGTTCAGAGAGAGACAGAAGCCTGTCTTCTTAGAATGTTAATTGGCAGAGATTTATTCTCAAAGGCCTGGCTCCAAAAATAATATCTGTTATGCATGATATAAATTTATTCCTAAAAACAAATACAACAAACACTTTGCACGAAACCTGTTCAGAGCCATGACTTCACTGAATAGAAATGAAATCCTAAAACTTTGACTAAGAGAGAGAGGCTAGTCTCCAGTTCCATAAAATTCTAGTACCAGTAAACAATTTTAAATCGTTTGGTTTAGAGTTAACATCCTAGGGCTAATTCTTTGGGGGACGGCTGCATTTACTATAGCATGTTAATCTAAATACCTTCTTGATCTTCAAAAGTTACATATGCAACTCCTTTTTTCGTCGTTGGATAGGTTACTTCTTCCACATCTCCCCCGTTATTCTTCGCCATTTGGAAATGAATCATCAGTATGTCAGTCATGACATCATCGCCCAGAAGGCCATCTGGAACACCGGCGATGACAACTGTCCTTGCTGATTTGGCAGCTTGTGCTGTTGCCTGCGCACAGAGACACAGCGCACCGTAAACGCGAGGAGCACCGGTGAGGTGACCTCCCATAGATGTCACCCAGATTCACCCCCATCGCTGAAGCGACTCCCCTTCCCTTTTCCCGGACAATGGGTGCATTTAGGAGCTAATGAAGAAGACTGCTGAATCAGATTTGAGTGAACGCCAGACTCCCTCAGGCACCTCTCCATTACTGCCCAGTAAAAGATGGTCTGACTCTTATGTGTAATTTCCACCATCTCAGTATCTTTTCAGCTCTGGAGTCCCCAACACAAGAAGGACAAGGAGCTGCTGGAGCGGGTCCAGAGGAGGCCACGAAGATGATGCGAGGGCTGGAGTACCTCTGCTCTGGAGACAGGCTGAGAGAGTTGGGGCTGTTCAGCCTGGAGAAGAGAAGGCTCCGGGGTGATCTTATTGCAGCCTTCCAGTGCCTAAAGGGGGCCTACAGGATAGCTGGAGAGGGACTTTTCACAAGGGTGTGTAGTGATAGGACAAGGGGCAATGGCTTTAAACTGAAAGAGGGGAGATTTTGATTGAATATAAGAAAGAAATTTTTTACTCTGAGGGTGGTGGGGCACTGGTTGCCCAGAGAAATCCTAGATGCCCCATCCCTGGAGGTGTTCAAGGCCAGGTTGGATGAGGCTTTGGGCAATCTGGTGTAGCAGAGAGTGTCCCTGCCCATGGCAGGGGGTTGGAACTAGATGATCTTTGAGGTCTCTTTAAACCCAAACCATTCTGTGATTCTATAATTCTATGATTCACAAAGCAGTAAAAATTAGAACTGAATTTAACAGCTTCTCAAGTGAAAGGTCCAGTGTCTCACTTACAAGGTTGTTTCCTCCCATTCTAATACTCAAAATCTGAAGAGAATGAAAAATTTTAATTGCATGTACTGTTCAGTAAGGATCGCCTTTTCAGAGCGGAAGGGTCAGATTCAGCCTGTCCTTACTTGTTAAATTCATGAGAGCTGGGAGCCAGGGCTGTGCTCTGCCTCATCTCTCTCCACTTAGTGAATGGATAACCTTGTTAAATGGGAAGAACACAATCCCAGTCATCTGAGACTCGCTGTGCGTAAAACCAACTAACTACACACACGATTTTCATCAGAGCCAAACCTCCCCATGCTGCTAACATGAAACCCATCCTGAACAGGATTTCCATCCATGTCAAGAAAAGTGTATTTTCTTTCCATTCTTATTACACAGACATAAACAGTAATGTTTCACTGGGAATATCACAGCAAAATCACTGCAAATGGTGGAAATTTTCTAACGGTTCATTGACATTTCAGAAGAAAGAAAATAATTTAGTACGTCTGCATGGCAGCATTCACGGGAACGAAGTATCAATAACTTCAGAGCGACTGTACTCCAGGTCAGTCACTCCATCTAAATTCTTTGGACTTCTTTACAAAGTTCCTCCTGGACTTGGGCTGCACAAAACATCAGGGCCAGCAGAGCAGTTGCAAAGCCTGCGGAACATGCCGCCGGGGGGGGAAAAACGCTTCGCTGACGTGTGTCGAAAGCCTTGCGGACCACCACCGTGTGGCCTCTTTTTATCACCCACCAAACTGAAAGAGCCAGGAGCTTCAATTATCTTAGGTGATTGTTTTGGTGGTAACGTTGGTGCGAAAGGGAGTTTCTGCACTAATGAGACGACACGATGGGAATATAAAGAGGGTGCTTTCAAGACTGATGGAGATTTAGGCAGGATTTTCTCACGCTTCACACAGCCGATGCAGCCCGTGCCCGGAGCGGGAGCGCTCAGCTGCCAGACAGCACCTCGCGCCGTGCCAGCTGGTATTTTGGAGCAACGCTCATGCCTACTGTCGGGGTTTGAAAAAAATCCCATGAACGTACAGTCGGTCTGCGCCGAATCACTTGTAAGACAAGTCTGCGTTCAGCGGCAGCAACGCGGAGCCGCGGAAGGTGACGGCCGGGCGGGTACGGCAGCGGAGCACCGCGGCGCTGGGCACTGCTGACCGCAGGGTCCTGTGCACGGCCACGCCGCGCGTTTGCCGTTTCCCTGGAAAATCTGCTGCACGGATCGGACAAGAGGTCGGATAGGAAGCCTTACCCATAGGCCTCATCGGTTCTCACTGTTAGTAAGAACAGTAAAATATCAGCAGTAGTAAGAGGGAAATCGGACCTGTTGCTACCACTTACTGGAGGGGCAGGGCAGAAGGCGGTGGCACACGGTGCTGCTGCATGAGCACTGAGTATTTGAGTCTGAGAACTAAGTAGTGTCTGAGCACTGAGTATGTGTGTCTGAGCAACGAGTAGTGTCTGAGCACGGAGTTTTCGTGTCTGAGCAGGGAGCATTCACGGCAAAGCACTGAGCATTTCTACCTGAGAACTGAATATTTGTGTCTGAGCACCGAGTATTTCTGTCTAAGCACGGAGGATTTGTGTCTGAGCACTGAGTATTCATGTCAGAGCACTGAGTATTTCTACCTGAGAACTGAGTGGTGTCTGAGCACTGAGTATTTCTACCTACGCATTATTTCTGAGCACTGAGTATTTCTGTCTGAGCATTGAGTATTCGTGTCTGAGCACTATTTGTCTGAGCACTGAGTATTCGTGTCTGAGCACTGTTTCTGTCTCAGCACTGAGTATTTCTGAGCACTGAGTATTTGTGTCTCTGCACTGAGTATTTAAGTCTGAGCACTGAGTATTTGTCTGAGCACTGAGTATTCGTGTCTGAGCATTATTTGTGTCTGAGCACTGAGTATTTGTCTG